GTTACCCATTAGCCGATAGTCTCTGAGTAATTTGCGTACTAGTCAGCTGTGCCTAGTTTGACCTTTCCATTTTTTAAAAAATTTTTTTAAACTTCTTTTAGGCAATTGGGGTTAAGTGACTAGCCCAGGGTCACACAGCTAGTAAACATCAAGTATCTGGTCTGAGATCAGATTTGAACTCAGGTCCTCCTGACTTCAGGGCTGGTGCTCTATCCACTTACGCCATCTAGCTGCCCCAACCTTTCCATTTCTAACTACTGGCTTATTTAATTGACATCTTTGTCTTTATTAACACATCAAAATGGTGTTTTCTGATAAATTTGCACTTTTTGGTTTCCCACACTAGCTTTTATACCCCTAGTAGAGGACTGTACAATCAATTAAATGAATGAATCATTAACTTGGACATGGGACAGCAACAGTAGCACCATTTACTAATTTGTCAATGAAGGGGCATTAACTGATAGGACATGTATTGGATTTTGGGCCACATGTATTTGTTCTTATGTCTCCCACAGAGTAGGAAACAAAACTTCTCTCTATTCAATAGAAATGATTATAATGATGGTGAAAATACGTTGTAGTGTCAGAATCAGAGAGGATCTAAAATGGATAGAACAGAAGAAAAACAATTAATTAACTTTGGAGGAAGGTCGCTTTAGCTCAGGATTGAAGCACCTAAGGGTGGTGGTTGCTATTTATTTGTTTCTTAAATTTGACAGTTTTGAGTTAGCTTCCTTCTTAGGGAAGTAACCATTAAAAATAAATGGGAAAAATGTCATCAATGATGGAAAAGCCAGCTGGCAATGCTCTCCCTAAATGTTTTAAGCAGCTATTGCCAGTTTTTCAGTCATGATAGCTATTTATTATCTTCTTGGGGAAAATTGAGATCTTGTCCAAATCCACTTGTGTCTCCCTCTAGGAAATGAGCTATTGATGCGACAAGCCTAGGAAATCTATTCCAAACCCTGCAGAACAGTGTTTCCCATGCTTTTGGAGTGAGCAGCAAACCCAGCAGGGTGATAGGATGAAGGTATTTCCTGTTAAGCTATCCTCCAACCTGGGCATCTAGTTTGTATTTATGTATCCACTTTCTCTAACTCAAGCATTCTTGATCCTTGTCTGCCTTGGACCCCTTTGGCAGTATAGCGAAGCTTCTGGACCCTATTTTAAAATAATGTCTGTAAACGCATAAAACAAAATACACAGGATCACAAAAGGAACTTATTATATTGAAATACAGTTATCAAAATATGTTGAATTTTTTTTTAAAGCTCATGAACTGCCAGGTTAAGAACTCCTATTATAGCTATTTTTTGAGAGAAGTTATTTTTCATTCATCACATCTACCAGAGTTGTAACTAGGAATCTTTGCACCTGGGTCATGGAAAGCAACATGATACCCTGTCCTCAGCTGAGGAGTAGAGACTCTGCCCTGTGATAAAAAGTGAGAAACCTCCAGATAATTTTACTCTTGGGGCCTTAACTTGCAATTGGGTAGCTTATTATTTTTAGCTAATTATACTTGACCACCAGGTGCTTAAGTTCTATGCTGAAGGTGTGCAAATGCTGTCAGATTTTCCAAATTTATAGGTCTGGTTATACCTCTGATTCTTTTCTTAATACCTGCTAAAAGGGAGAGTGAGCGAAGTCAAGATATCCCATGGACATCTTTAGATATCTTCAGATAAACCCCAAAAGTGGAGGCACACCAGTTGGGAAACAGAGCACTACAATTCTAAGATGGTAACTTTTATGTTCTCAGGGCTCTGAGAAACTCCATTGTTGGCATTTCTTTTTACTTCAGTGTTTTCACGTATTTTCCTGGATTTGGCCTCTCAACCCCTTGCCTGCCTCTCTTGCCTAATTTTAAAAGTGTCTTGCACATAGTAGGTGCTCAGTAAATATATTTTTTAAAAATTTAATTTGATTTGCCTTCAGATAACAAGTACTACCATCTTGCCTTCTATTTACTGTTTTCTTTCTCCCAGGATTGATACTGCTGCTGTTTATTCCTGTGACCTTGCACTTTAGCTGGAAACTACAGTGGTCAGCCTGTGGACACAAAATCAACATAAATAAACCCAAGCTGTTAGACTTAATGAGTAGATTTTCTTATTTAGTCAGCATTTATGCAGTACTGAGGGCTAATAGAGGCATTCAGGCTCCACAGGGAGTAGCCAATTTCTACAATGAGGATTCCCAGGGAACATATGGAAACAATCCAACCTTTACTAAAATGTAAGGATCCACATGTTCTCCATAGTAAGTGCTTAATAAATGCTTGTTGATTGATTGGTTGGTTGGTTGATTCCCTGTGTTCGTGGGGCATATAAGCCACTGGAGGAGATGTTTGGAACAAGAGGGCCTTTCTAACCACCCCCTCGAATCCCCAATAACATCCTTGAGGTGGTTGCCTACTCATTCATCCTATCCCATAAGGTCTGCCCTGCCGTGGGCCAGTAGACCCAAGCAATATAAATATTATGCATTCAAAACCCAAACTGTTTACCATTTTTTTTTCCAGGTTCTCTCACCTTTGGGTGTGTGTGTGGGGGGAGGGGAGTAGCCCGATTTCTTCACCAGGAAGTGTTGAGGAATTCAATGTAGAAGGCGTAAACAGATTTTTTAGAAGAAAACCAGTATGGGTTCTTGAACAGTTTATTGGTGAGTCATGTGTTATCCAGCAATACACCCTATTTATGGAACAACCTACGTCTTTGGAGAGAATTAATTGCAGACTCTTTTTCTTAAATGAGACATTAAAAATAATTTTTAAAAAGAGGTATATTTGCCCACTTGGATTCAAATGACTTTTTAACTTCAATACAAAAATTTTACATGCATTTATTAAGTGACTACTACATGCAAGGTACTACAGATACAAAATCAAGAAATGAAATATTCCTTATCCTTGAGGAATTTACATCCTCCTACCGTAACATGATGTGTGCAGATAGTAATATTTAGTATTTATGTAACACTTCGAAGTTTGCAAAATGTTCTACGTTCACTATTTCCTTTGAGCCTCATGACAATACCAAGAAGCTCACTTTATTATAGTTGTTTTGGTTCCCATTTTACAGATAGGACATCTGAGGCTCCAGGATGAAGAGATTTGTCCAACATCACACTGATGATAAATATCAGAGGTGGGATAAGAACCAAGCTCCTCCTGACTCTAAGCTCAGTTCTCAATGTCGTCTTCCACCCCTGTCCTATTCTTCCCCCTTCGCCCAATAATTCTGGGTAAGGACTTGACCTGAAGAGGTTCAATTTATCTCTTTGCTTTGTTGTCCCCATCATAGAGTTTTGCTCTAAGGAAATCTGCAAATGCCTACTCTGCCTCAGGGTCCTTTGCCAAATATCCCCCATAGTGCTGTTGGTAGCACTTGTGGATAATTTGAGATTATCTGAGATCATTAAAAAAAAGCCTATGGGTATGTAGATGTTCAGAAGGAATTGAATTAAAAAAAGTGGAGAAATATTAAATTCTGATCCCCCAAAGAAACACTAAAGAAAAAAAAATAATTGCAAAACTACTAAGCTTCCCTCATTCTGATTCCTTTCTCCCTTGACCCTCCTGAGCTACTTGGAGAGTATGACTGCTCAAAAATTATTCATTTGTCTACCAAATAAAGTTTGGACTTCTTAGTTTTTTCATTCAAGACCCTTCACAAGTTGGTCTCAATTTACGTTTCAAGGCTTTATGAACTCCAGCCTCCAGGCAAACTAAATTACCCACCATTCCCTCAACATGCTTTGTGCCTGCCTACCTCTGGTCCTTTCCTTCTGCCGTTCCTTCTCCCCAGAATACCTTTTCCTCTCTCATTTCTGCATGTAAAAATCCTATTTGACCTTCAAGGCTCAGTACACGTTATCTCTTCCGCCTGCTGTGATCATTCCAGCCAGAAGTGATCTCTCTCAACTCTCAACTTCTACAGACCTTTCTTCATCCTACTCACAAGGTCTTTAATCACTGCCTCATATTAATTAAATATCTATAGTGATACTTTCATTAATAGGACTTTGGAAGCTAAATTTCTTTTAATAAAGTCACGAGTGAGGGAGCAGGTAGGTGGCAAGGTGGATAGAGCACCGGCCCTGGAATCAGGAGGACCTGAGTTCAAATCCAGACACATGATACTCACTAGCTGTGTGACTCTGGGCAAGTCACATAACCCCAATTGCCTCAGCAAAATAAAAAATAAAGTTACGAGTGATGAAGGAGTAGGGGAACAAAACCATTCTGTTCTCTAAAGTTGTCAGTAGCAATGGTAACTGTGGAGAGTTAGTGAGAATGGTCTTAGATACAAGCCATCTAAGGTAGATAAGGCACTTCCTTGATTCTCCATATTAGATATAAGGTTGTGGATAGCCATAGTGACTTATGAGCACAGGCAATTCATTAGTAATGGGGCAGCCAGGTGGTACAATGCATAGAGTGCCAGGCCTGGAGTCAGGAAGACTCATCTTCCTCGATTCAAATTCAGCCTCTGACACTTACTAGTTGTATAACCTTAGGCAAGTCGCTTGACCTTGCTTGCCTCAGTTTCCTCTTCTGTAAAATGACTTAGAGAAGAAAATAGCAAACCACTCCAGTATCTTTGCCAAGAAAACCCCAAATGGGATCACAAAGAGTTGGACACAATTGAAATGACTGAGCAACAACAAAAATTCATTAGTAAAGGGTTTGAGAGGTGCCATGCTTAGTAAAATTGGATGTTTCACTGGTTCAATTAGAGGACTCTGAAGAAAGAGGAAGAGACTTTTATTAAAGAAGTTAAGCAGGTTTGGCCCCAGGTTCTCTAAGAACAAAGAATATGCCTAACATGCTTGTTCTTGGCGTGTTCTGCATTTTTTTTTCTTTTGTCAGGTTCCCTCCCATCAGTCCCATCAATCAGATGTGCATCAAAAAGGTGCAAATAAAGTGGGAGGTGAGGTCTGAGGAAGAAGGTCATTTGGTTATAAGGGAAGGGAGAATACTTGCCTGAGCAGAGGTGTTCCTTATTACCCCAAAGCAGTTCAGGTTTCCCCCCTCAGTTCATTTCCCTTTCCCAAGTTCAGAAATCTGCTCCAGCTCCTGACTCCTTCCTCTTTTCAAAAATGATATTGACTCTAAGGGGAGGGAAAATGTTCGCAGAGAATTCTTTCTCCCTTCCTTCTCAGATGGGTGTGTCCTGGTCCTGTCCGCCTAGAACTACAGAATAATGTATCAGGAGGTACAGAAAACCCAGAAGGAGTATGTGTGCCAGGTAGTTGCATAGTTTAGATCTTTATTTAAAAAAAAATCTCGCTAGAAAAGTGTAAGCTGTGACTGCACAGGAGTTATGTTGGAAGCAGGGTCCCCTTCGGCTGCTTCCTGAAGAGAGGCACCTAGAGGTAAGCTAAACCATGCCCAGTTGACCCTTCGGTCTCTTAACTCCCAAAGCAGGCAGAGACAGCATCTTATTTAGCACTGTGTGTTCACCTAGTGCCTAGTACAATGCATTGTAGGTGATGGGTACTCAATAAATGTTTATTCAGTTTGTTGAATGAGTGAGTGAAATGAATGAAGGCAGCTATATTAAATTGTCCTGATTTTGTGGAATTGTAGGGGCAGAGCTCAGAGGTGAAAATCTAGTTTTTCTTAGTGAGGTTCAGGAATGATGATTCAGGTAATATCATTATTATTGACTCTTTATAAGTCTGGGAAGGAAGAATTAAAAAGATGGAGTGGGGAGAGCAGGGCCAGCCTGGGTAGCTGGACAAGGGTAAGTCTCCAATGGACTGTCCTAAATTTGGCTTTTGATCCCCAGCTTCTAATCTTGATGGATCTGGTCTCTTACATTTTATGAATGAAGAAAACTGTGACATAGAATGGGGTAGGAAGTTGTCCAAGGTCTTTCAGTTAATAAATAGCAGAGCCAGGATTTGAAGGTAGATTCTCGGACTCCAAATGCAGCATTTTTTCTGAGTTGTATCTTCTGAGATATGATATGATATGATATGATGTGATATGATATTGTATTGTATTGTATATTATATTACATTATATCATATCATATTATATTATGTTATATTGTTATGTTATGCTATATTATGTTGTTATATTGTGTCGTGTTGTGTCATGTCATGTTGTATCATATCATATATGATCGTATCATATTATAATGTGTGATATTATGTTGTTACATTATGTGATATGATGTGATGTTATATATTATATTATAATATATTATTGTATTTTATATGTGTAAGAAGTTTCTATTGATCTCTTTTCTTTCTGTACTCTGCTATTTGGGGATTAATTCATCAAGATAATAATGGTAAACCTTATCAAAGTGAGGCAGGTAGGCAACTCAGTGGTTAGAGTGCTCAACCTGAAGTCAAGAAGACCTGAGTTCAAATCTAATCTTAAATACTTATTAGTAATATGGCCCTGGACAAGTTACTTAATCTCTGTCTCAGTTTTCTTATCTGTAAAGTAGAGATAATAATATTTACCTCCTAGGGTTATTGTGAGCAAGAAATTAGAAAACATTTATAAAGGACTTTGCAAACCTTAAAGTACTCTCTAAATGCTAACTATTATTAGCTATTATTAATTCAGTTGCCTTGGTAGAAATAGTTTCCATAGCAGAAGTTCCCTATGCTGGTGAGATATGTATGTATACAGACACACATATGTATGTACATAGCTTAGACTTGTAATTCATATATCTATTTATATATACATCCATGTGTGTATATGTGTGTCTGTGTTTTATATATGTGTGTGTGTGTGTGTGTGTGTGTGTGTGTGTGTAAATTTATACATTTTGTTGTTGTTTGGTCATTTCAGTCATATTTAACTCTTTGAAATCCCATTTGGGGTTTTCATGGCAAAGATGCTGAAGTGGTTTGCCATTTCCTTCTCCAGCTGATTTTACAGATGAGGAAACTGAGGCAAACAGGGTTAAGTGATTTACCCAGGGTCAAACAGCTAGTAAGTGTCTAAGTCCAGATTTGAACTCAGGAAGATGAGGATGAGTCTTCCTGATTCCAAGCCCAGTGCTCTATCCACTGCTTCATCTAGCTGCCAAGATTTATATGTGTGGACATATATTTCTCTTGTGTGGATATTTATATTTTTAATATATTATTTGGGCCAGTCCCATGATTTCATTAGTGTGGGGAACTTGGTCAGGAAACTCCCTTATTGATGCAGATTGAGTCTTATAGTTGATTTGCTCAGGGCCAAACAGCCCCCATGCATCAGAAGCATCCTTTGAACCCAAGTTTTCCTGATGCTAGAGCTGACTTTACCCACTACCCCTAAGACTAATCTTCTTCCTGCCATGGCTAATCCTTCTAACTGTTTCCTTGATCCCATTTTCTTTCATTTTCCCTGGGACTCATTCCTCATTTGCATCTTCTATTTTTCCTTTTCCTTTGGTTCCTTCTCCTCTGTCTACTGACATTCAGATTTCCTCTATTCCGCTAATCTTCCCTTGATTTTGTTATCCCAGTAAGCTACTGCCCCATGTTCATTTCCCTTTTTTTTCCTGCCAGATTTTTTAAAAGCTCAATTTGTATTCTCCCACTATTAATTTGGTCCTCAACCTATATTTATCACTTCTGAAACTGTTGTCTCTATGGTAACCAGTGGCACGTTCCCCCTCAGACCTCCAGTCATTTTGATATTCATGGGCCTTTTCTCAGCCTTCATCCTCCTTGACTTCTCTACAACATTATACCCTGATGTGAACCCCAATAATCTCTCCTTCCTTGATCCTAAACAATCTAGTTTTTCTCCTACTTTTCTAACAGTTAGTCCTTTGTCTCATTTTTTCTGTCCCATCTTTTTAACACTGGTGTTCCCCCAGGTTCTGTCACTGACCCTTTCCTCTTCTCTTTACATTTTTCTTCCTAGGCAATCTCATACACACTATCCCAGTTCTGTATCTTACTCCCAGCCCTCTGTCTATAAAGACTCAGGCTTGAATTTCCAGCTTCCACTCACATGGTTAATTTTCTTTCCCAAGGTCACACAGCTAGAACATGTCTGAGGTCAGATTTGAACTCAGGTCTTTCTGACTCCAGGCCCAGGGCTCTATCCACTGGGACACCTAGCTGCTCACAATATGGGCAATTATAATAATAACAATGATAATAATGATAGTATTACATAGTGTTTTAAAGTTTACAAAGCACTTTACAAATATTATCTCACTTGATCCTCCCAACAACCCTAGGATTTTAGGTGCTATTATCATCCTTGTTTGCCTCAATTTCCTTCTCTGTAAAATGGGGATCTTAATGGCACCTACCTCCCAGGTTTATTATGAGGATCAAACGAGATAATAATTATAAAGGTCTTAGAACATATTATATATGTTCTATATATCTATATCTATATATTATAGAACATATTACATATGTTCTATAACATATATACGTGTTGTTGTTTAGTCATTTGCAGACATGTCCAATTCTTCGGGATTCTGTTTGGGATAGATTGACTCTTTCGTTCAGTCTTTTTTTCAGTCATGTGTGACTCTTTGTAAACCCTTTTTAGATTTTCTTGGCAAAGATACTTTGATGGTTTGCCATTTCCTTCTTCAGCTCATTTTACAGATGAGGAAACTGAGACAAACAGGATTAAGTGACTTGCCAAGAGTCACACAGCTGGGAAGTGTCTGAGGCCAGATGTGAACTCAGAGAGGTGAGTCTTGCTGTCTCCAGGCCTGGTGCTCTACCCACTGGGCCACCTAGCTGTTCCATATAAATGTTAATTGTTATTATTATTAATTGTAGATGTTAATGTAAAGGGATTAGGGTAAATTTTTGCTCACTTTGGTGTATAGCTTAGAAGTTGCTTTGGGTCCAAATTTTTTACATCATCAATTTATTTGTCGTCAGTTCATAGATATATAGCTGGAAAGGACAGCAGCCGCTATCTAGTCTAACCCTCTCATTTTCCATATGAAGGCACAGGAGGTGGAGTTCTTTCCCAGGGTCACACAAGTACTAAAAACTTCAGCCCATGTCCTCTGACCCCAGAGCTAGCACTCCATGCCTTTCTCATAAAATTCGAATGCAGAAAATAAAATGCAGTTGAATGAATCACAGAATGTTAGAGATAGGAGGTGGTTTAGAGACCTCCTTGTCCAAATTCCTTATTTCATAAGTGAAGAGAGTAAAGCCAGGAGAGGCGTCTTGCCCAAGGTTACAGAGCCCTAAGTGGCATACAGGGAATGCTAAAGGAGGGCTTCCATTTCAAGTTGTCTGTTCTTTACACTAAAGCTGAACTTTCAAATTGTCAGGATTATGGATAAGCAAACAGAATTTACTATAAATATGAGCTATGCTTACCCCTACAGATATCTTTTGCTTAATGGAATGGTAAAGTTTGCCAGAAAGTGGACTTGTATGAAGCAGATCTTATTTTCCCCTCTGCTTTTTTTTTTCCCCAAAGTGACTACTATTTTTGTTTGTGTCCTACTCAGTATCGTGGTAGTAGGAGTTTTCCTATATGATACTGCGGAAAGAGCCCTGTGATTTAGAGTTCTTGGTTCAAGTCCTGGTTCCTCTAATTGATAGATTTGTGACCTTGGGCAAGTCATTTCTCTTTTCTAGGCCTCAATTTCCTTCTCTATAAAATGCAGAGGTTGAAACAAATGACCCCTTAGGTTTCTTCTAGATCTAAATCTAGATGACTATGAACTTTTAGACTATGGGTTAGAAAGTGGACTAATTATTTAGGGGGGAAAATACAGCTTCATGGTGAATTTCTTGGCCGTGAACTATGTTTTTATATACAAACTATGTTTGTATGCATATGTATATGTCTCTATGTTTCTATTGGGGCAGCTAGGTGGTACAGCTAGACTCATCTCCTTGAGTTCACAGCTGGCCTCAGACACTTACTAGCTGTGTGACCCTGGGCTAGTCACTTTGCCTCAGTTTCCTTATCTGTAAAATGGACTAGAGAAGGAAATGGCAAACCACTCCAGAATCTTTGCCAAGAAAATCCAAAATGGGGTCACAGAGTCAGATACAACTGAAAACTACTGAACAGCAACATGTCTCTATATCTCTACCTATCTATCGATTATGTAATATCCTTCTACATTGCTAAACCAGTCAAGTGAGAAAGGCAACCTTTTATCCAAGAATGAACAGATGATATGGCACATCTGTGGGGCCCACACAGACTGGGACTTAGTAGCTCCTGGTTCTATTTCTAATATGGAGTAACTTGACAGAGGGTGAATTGAGAGCTTAGGTTTGTACTTTATCAACAAAAGATAAAGATATTTACAATGAATGCAGACGCTTTTAAAGCTAAAGTTGATGGTAGATGTTGAACATGAAAGCCCCTAGGCCAATGTAAAAAGAAAATTGAAAAATACGGTTCC